TGTGTTTCTGACATTCTATCTGGCATATTTTCTACATATTTCTGACATATTATTTGACATGCGGTGGCTCAAGGGGCCTTTCTTTGAAGGTGTTCAATGTTCAAGCAACATCCCGTGTCTTTTGACGCAACACTGTCAGTGAAAAATGCTTTTCATTGAGCCAAGTCCCACAAAGTGTAAGGGCACATGCTAGATGACGGGCTCCAAAACATGGGGCATCAGGATCCAGGCTATTGCACCATACGATGCCTTTAGCTAAAACGATGCACAGTGGACACGATTGGATTGTCTAGGCAGGGAAAGTCGCCCAGTGATCCGACTTCTCTTCGCGGCCATCACGAGCCACGTAAGCAAAGTTGTTTGGTGCTCCTGTAGCGAGCGAAACCAATCCCACCATAGTAGCCAGGAGCCCATAGCCTCGAGCCTTACTTCCTTGAGAAGCACGTTCTCGGGGCCTTCGGCCGCAACGGCAGCCCTGCAGGCGGTGAACTTCTTTCGTCCTTTCGACTCCGCATGCGTAGCATTTCCGATTTTCCACCTCCATCCGGGGTCCTCCGCAGTCCTTGCATCTCGCTTTTGACGGCGGACCTGCGGATTGAAATACGGTGTCGACAGCCCCGCACCCACAAAGAGTGGACGCGGCCAAGCCGCTCCTCAACTCAGCCACTGGGTCCCCCTTTTCCAACACGGCTTCGTCGTGCCGCGGGGTCACCAGCACCATGCCTTCTCGGCCGCCAGTGTTCCACAAACCAGGAACAACTTCGATCTTTCCTTCAATCGGCAAAACCGCCTCGCACTCTGAAGCTTCCGAAATCCATTCTCCTTGAACTTGAACCGGCACAAGGGCACCTTCCCCAGGCAGCAGCTGCACTGCCTCTTCACCTGTAAAGACGACAGCCGCCTTCCTGCCAGTACACGGTTCACAAAAATCCTCGGCGCCGGCTTCTACGCCTGATACTACTGAGCGGAATACGTAAGCCCGATCCTTCCTTTCGGACGACGCGTCTTCACACCTCGGGATCTGGACGCCCAGGGTGTCCAAGATATGCGCCTGTGGTCCAGGCCTGAAACCGAGCCCGCGACGCGCCTCGCAGTCGAGGGCGCGCCCGCCGAGAATCAACCCGTGCCAATCGCTGGTTCCCTTGGCAGCGATCTTGCAACGGACGTAGAGTTCATGACCGTCCACGCACCGATCTGTATCAGGGCCTTCTTGCAACCGTACCTTCAGCACCACAGACCCCTTGAGAGGGACTGGAGAGCCGCTCGCAATTCCATGGACGAACTCCGGATAGACCCATTGCTCAAACTGGACGATCGGGAATCCCTTGTCGCCTGGTTTCAATCCAAGCGCCGCCGCTCTATTGAGGATGCTGACAACCAACTCTTCAGTGACATGGTTGGATCCAGCCCCTCCGTCCAGCAGCGTCTCTACCATTTTATCCAACACCTTGGTAACGGTCTTATACTGATATCCGCCTCGTTCATTCTCCACAACCTTCCACCAATCCTTCGGCAATTGGTCTAGGCTAGTGAACACATCAGCTTTGGACTTAGGATTTTGCTCCGGCCGCGTCGCTGCCGCGAGAACGGCAGCAGCGACCGCAGGCTTTGGCGCAGGGTCGTTTGGCCCGCATGTCACCACAGTGAAAGCTGCGAAAGGATTCGCTAATCCTGCCCCACTCGGCGCGCTCCATCCCGATGGCAAACTATTATTGCTTCCCGCCGACGCCCCAGCGGACGTAGACGTCGGGAGCGAATGGGACATGTCACACGCATCCCCTTTCTTGCAGGCTCCATTCTTGGCAAAGAACGGGCAGGGTTTCTCACTTTTCCCTGGTTTCGGTGCTTTCCCTTTCGAGTCTCCCTTGCCCCCTCCTTTGCTCTTCCCTTTGCCTTTGCCCGTGCCTTTTGCCGGATACGCATCCTGACTGCCCACCTTTTCCTTTCTGTTCCAACGCCTTCTTGCGCAGCTCCTTATCGTGCGAGAAAGGACACTCCCGGCCCTTTCTGCAAGATCCGTGGTCCCGAAAATCCCAACAAAGCCTCTCCTTTCGAGGATCCCCCGCGGTGACTCCAACCTGGGTGGGCTTTGCCTTCGCCTTTGGTTTGGGACCCGGGCCCTGAGGATTGGCGTTCGGCCGAGGATCTGAGTTCTGGGCGCTTGCGCTTGGAGCGGCAGCATACACGGCATTGGCGGTGGCGCGATTGGTGGCTTCGCGTTGTTCAATCTCAAGGACCACCCTGTGCGCCTCTTCCCATGTCTGTGCGCCGCGCATCCGATCTTCCTCGCCCCAGATCCTCTTATCAGCTCTGATTTCCTTCTGAAGCGACGGCGGCATCTTCCGAAGGTAGCTGAGGAAGAGTTCTCTAGGGGTCTTCCCCAACCCGACAGCCTCAAGCTCCGCAACCGACGCTTCAAAGACAGGCTCGAACTGATGCCCCGTGAGGCGACCCTTCATCAGCGCCGCGTGCTCAGCATCAATTCTGATCTCACGCTCTTCCCGGCTCTCACTAAACATCAGATGTTTGGCCTTGATCTTTTCATAGACTGAGCCTGGGTCGCTGAGAACCTCACCGGCCTTCCATGCAGCCTTGTACATATTCTGATATGTCTTGAGGCGTGAACCGCGGCAACGAGCCCTTAACGCCAGAAGCATCTCTCTATGGCCCATGCCGCGGCAAGAGTTTGCCAGACCACAGACATCTTCAAATTCTTCGTAAAACTGAGACACGTCCCGGGAGTCAGCTCTTTCATCTCCCAAGGTGGGCCAATGCAAGTCAGTTTTCACCGAAGTGATTGACGTGTCCTTCCCTCGGCCCGCGAGCGCTTCCTTGAGAACCTTGGTTTGTTCCTCAAGCGCCGCGGCCAGGGTCTGTTCCTGCCCGCTCGCCATCGAGGCTGCGTCAGACCCTGCCCTTTCTTGTCTTAAGGCTTCCAATTCCATTTCCAAGGCCGCCAATCTGGCCTGCATCGGCGAATCTCCGTTTCCCTTTGGTCGCTCTGGCACTCTCACCTTTGCTGACGGAGCAGAGCCCGTCCCCTTTTGGCCCGCTCCAGCACCTTTCTGATCATCCGAAGGTGTGCTGAAGAGCTTGTCAGGGCTACTGCTCAACCGTCCTCCGAGCCTTTCAATGATCTCGCCGATGGCTTGGACTGAAAGTTCTCTTTCCGTTGCGTCGAGCTTCTCGTCTTGAACGGTTGCTACGAACTTGTCCCTTAAGAACTTCACCCCTTTGCCTCGGCTCAGCT